GTCTAATTCGTCTTCGGGGCCCAATTCGTCTTCGGAGAATTCGTCTGGGGAAAGCGTCTTCGGGGTCTAATCCGTCTTCGGGGGCTAATTCGTCTTCGGAGAATTCGTCTGCGGAAAGTGTCTTCAGGGTCTAATTCGTCTTCCGGGTCTAATTCGTCTTCGGAGAATTCGTCTGCGGAAATCGTCTTCACATTGTGGGAGGAGAGGTGGCTGTGCTTGAATGTGTCTTCGTAATGTGTCTTCGTCTGCGGGTGGAAAAGTGGGACCCCCACAGCGGCTGCAATGTTTTGTTTTGCCGTAGAAATGGCCTCCAACCTAATAGCGATGGCCTCCAAGCAATGAAAACGATCGGCACTTTCACTCGCTCAGTCAACTTGCCAGGTGGCTCCACGCAAGCCCACGCGGTCACTCCACTTCCTCGGCGTGTTTTGGGATTGCAACTCGAAAAAATGATGCTTAAACAGCAACCCACAAAGCGGACAGGTGAGATGACTTGGGAGTGGGGATTTTTGCACGTACGTCCGCTAAGTCCTAGGTGATCCGGGGGTAGTATAATTACAGCAACTCCAGCAATGGATATTGGATATTGGATGCAACCATCATCAAACTGACGGATGTTCAAGATTGTTCAAGCATGCCTGGAAATGCCCACATATAGGCAGTGGGTGGGACAGTAAAAGGACTCAGCTGTTGGCCCTTACCTGCAGCGTCATGCACACCTGACGTTCTCAGCCCAGTGGCACATCGCCATTGAAGGCATAATCCATATGCGCGATCCGTGCAGCGTCGCGCACTTGGGATGAAGTGGCCTTGAAACAAATTGGCAGAAAAGCGGTTCAAACGCATATTTTGAGAATGGATTCCTGACATCATAATAATATAATTCAGTCATCAGTTAGCACAGAATGGATTCTTGACAAACAAAGGCTCATTAAGTCTCCTGCCAAGTGAAACCACAACCAATAGGAACATCAACGATTGTGAGACATTGGGAGTAGCATTGGGCAATCGCTAAGAAACCGGGAGAAAACCAGGAGGTCAAAGGAGAGTGACGACCGTTGGATAAATGCCTTTGGATCAGCGTGAGTTTCAGAACTTCGTAGGGTGTTCAGAGGGTTGCCTCAGGGCCCTTGCCGTAGCATATGCCTCAAAAACTTGTCCAATACTTGCCTGCTCCTAGTAGCGATGGCCTCCAACCTACTAGCGATGGCCTCCACCTAATTGCGTCCTTGCTACACTCTGACTCTGAGATGGAAGTGGAAAATGGTCCCTTGGAAGCCTACTTTCCTTTACGAACAGGGGGTTTGCCACTTCCATGTTAGTGTCGGAGTGTATCTGGGCCGCTGGCCGCTACCGGACACTGCAGCGTCCAACTCTGTGCAACCCCCCTGAACCTTACCCATCACTCCCCTCCAAACAGAAATTCTGTTTGGAGAGCAACAGTTTTTCTTAGAAGCTAGTAGTAACAAGTGCCACGCTAGTAGTAACAGGTGCCTTACTAGTAGTAACAAAAAGCTAATAATTTACTTTAAAAATAGACTTAATTCTAATAGCTTTATTGTTACTACTAGTAAGGCACTTGTTCCTAGTAGCGATGCACTTGTTACTAATAGCTTCTTGTTACTACTAGTGCGGCTAATCTCATCCCAATTGTTGCACTGAATTTGTGTTGGGGATGGTCCCATCGCTGCAGGAAAGCAGGTGACTCAGTGATGGCCAAGGCCCCTACTCACCACCCAAAGGCCTACACCAGCTTAAAGGGAAGCATTCTGTCGCCCCATTAAGCAAGGTGGAGAGAAAAACGGGTGATCTTTGACATTCTGAGATGAGGTAAGGAGCTTGAGGATATCCATACTTCACATTCCTTGGTCATGCACAGGTGAATTGGCAAACAAAGCAAGAACCAAAGCGACAACATTCCGTGAACTACAATTCAACACAGAGCATTGCACAGGTAATGGCTACTTATTAAACCAATGAGCCGTCCATATACTGTACACCCAACGATGCTTAAACTACAATTTCCTGACTAACATGGAACAGGAAATTACATAGCATTGTTGTACAGCTAGAAGGCCATGTTTCCCTTCTGTTTAAAGTTTGGAGAGCCGGAGTCTCCAGAGTGTCATGAATTGGAGGCCAACCTGGCCAAACAAATCCTGAACCATCGGTGCTGTAGACATTCTTGGTTGCCTCACCTTGGTCACCTCCAGCAGCTGAAACCAAGAGTGGCTACTGTGTTGAGCTTCAAGACTTCGAGAAAAAACACCCTGTCGCGAATTTCTCCTGAGTGAGCCAAGAATCTCTTCCAGTGAGATGTCGAAAAGGAGCGGCTCCTTGCTAAAAGCCGCGGCTTGTATGATTCATTCTTCAGTCGTTTTGTGCCTTGCTATTTGGTAGCTTCTTGTTACTAATAGCGATGGCCTCCAACCTGCTTGCGATGGCCTCCACCGAGCATAGCGTCCTTGTTGCTAGTAGCGATCCATCCAGAAATGCAACACATCCTTTCAGCGCTTTCAGTTCCACCTCTGACACAGCAACGTCGCGTGTCTAGGCCCCTGCAGCCTGCGGCCCCGTGCGCCCCGTGCGTCCCTGTCGTCTCCTGGCTCACAAGGCCCACGTTCTGCCGCCACCAAGAGAGCTTCAAGTCGCAGAGTTTCCGTCCACCAACCAAGATAGACCCGGCCTCCGGGCCAGCAGTGCACCAGCACGTCACTGCGCAACATGCCACGGGAATTATCTATCACTCCGACATTGTGGGGCTGTGTGTCGTGGCGCTGCCTCTTCCCGCCGTTACAGTAATTAGTGGTTTTTGGTACCTGTTACGCGGTATCTAACGGAGCCTGCCAGGGCTCAATCTCGCCTATATAAAATGACGAGTCTGCACTTGCTCAACAATATATGAAGGACTGAGTCAGCTGACAAACGGTTTCAATTGACTTCTTGATGGACCTTATTAGTGCCAAATATACGTCTACAGCCTCTACAATCTGCAGCATCCATGAAGTTTTGCCTGAAGGTTCTTAGTGTGTTCAAGGGACACTGTACGAAGAAAGGCACAAACAGTTCGCAAACACCTCATGCACATTCATGCACAAATGCCATTTCTTCCAGGTTAGAGGCCGTCGCTATTGGGTTGGAGGCCATCACTACTAGAAACAAAGAACAAAAAAGCCCTCATTCATGCACAAATGTGCATCGGTCTTTAGACTCACAGAGTTCTTCTCGACTCCTGTCGAGCTGAATGCTCCAGCAAAGTCATGCTGCATGCAGCATGCATCTGCATGCCTAGCCTGTGGATCATAGAAACGCTGTAGCAGTTGAATGGCGGAGGACTTGCCACTTCCAGAGAAGCCAACCAAAGCAACCTCGGCTTGTGAAATCATGTGACATCGTTACTCATCCCCTTTCAGCTTGTTCCTCCTTTCGTGACGTCTGCGTGGAACTCGTCTGGTAGGTCAAAGCTCTACACTCAATCAGGAAACTCTGAGCCAAAACCAGTGCTCGCCAAGTGACTGACTGACCCTTCTTTACGGTGAATGACACATTCTTGAGGACTTTGACTTCCGGCCGGTGGGGATACCAAAAGCTCACATCCTATCCAGCCAGGTGCAGCCGAACTTTCGTGCATGGAACAATGCCAGGACATGTTGGGCATGGAAAGCAACTGAATCTTCAAACACAGCCAGTCGAGTTGTCCGGAAGCCCGGCTTCAGCTTGCGAAACGGCATGCCTTGAATTCAATGGTTCCGTCACCCATGCTTTCAATGCCAGTCTTCAGGGCTTTCCTGGAATTGATCTTTGAGTCCTGACCGCGGTGAAGTTCAGCACTCAAGGAGTGAAGTTCACTGTGAAGGCCATGGAAAAGGTAGGCAAAACGAATTCGACAACGGCTTCCACGAGCCAGCATAAAATGAAGCAAACATACTATAAACGAACACGAGTGAAAACCACGTGGCAAAATGCAGGGCAGCTGAAGAACCGAGAACCCCAAGTAGGGTCAAACAGCGCTAACAATAATGAGACAAAGAAAGTGAAATTCCGCAGGGTAGCGATGGTCAGTGGTCAGAATAAAAAGGTTCAGGGAGGCACGATATCGCGTGCATCTTGTGGAGAGTGGAAACGTCCAGCGCCAAAACAATCGAGAAAAAACACCCCCTAGCCCCTCTACGGAAAGATGTGTACCTGTGAAAGAACTTCAAGAATTCGTGGTAGAGTCTAAATCGCATGTAAAGATTCTACAGTATCCATCTATCTATCTATCTATCTATCTACAGTATCTATATACAGTATCTATATACAGTATCTATATACATATGCAATATCTAGTTCTGAAACCTCCATCCACATGGTCGACACACACCCCATTACACTCACTGTTCCACGCCTGGTCAATGAGGCGGAAGACTTCACCCACTGCCACTCTTCCCGAGGCGGAGTCGGGCAAATACTGCGCCAGAACACTCACGCTCCTGCTCGAATGTCCAGAATCAAAGCATATCAAGACTCGAACATTGGCAAATCCAACCGTATCCAACATCGCACCACTGACTCAGAAGCGCTGTATGTGAAAGAATGATGGACAAAAAGCATGCAGACATCTGAAGGAGGACCAGGGACAACCTCTTCTCGACGGCACAGTTCTGCTTGCTTAAGACCCCCAAAAAAAAGTTGCCCTTGATTTGCACTTGTTCATCCTTGCTGGACGGCTTAGTCTGCAAACAAACGCTAGGCAAGGGTTACAGAATACTGTTGGGAGATAGTGCACAGTTGTGCTCCAGGACTGTTGGACGCCACTGGGTGTTGGTTCCCTACTAGAGTGGAGGCCATCGCTAGTAGGTTGGAGGACATTGCTCCTAGTAGCGTCCTTGCTCCTAGTAGTAGGGCCAGGAGCCCCTAGTAGCGTCCTTGGTAGCCCGTAGGGTGGAGGTCATCGATCTTAGGTTCGCACACGTGGGCACGCTCACCTCTGTGTGAAGCTGCCTGACAGCTCCCTCTAGGTCTGGCACGCATGCGCCCCGATCGTCCCGATTTCTGGGTGTCCCGGACATGACCCCAAACACCACGCAAAAGAGCGTCAGGAGGACCTGCTCCGAGACAAAGCCACCAGACCTGGGTTTGCACTAGCCAAGGTGCCACTTTTTAGGTGCAAATCTCTCATCAAAAAAAGACGTAATGGCGTGAGTGGGCAGTAGAGTCTGCACAAACATATCTTCTGCAGCCAGCCACCTGGCTACAAGATTACAGATCATCAGGGACTGCCAAAATCCCACCCTTCGAACAACGAGTAGGCAGCCCGGCTGAATCAGCGCGGCACTCAGCCAAAAGCCTGACAGAGTTCAGCACTGTGACAGTGTGACATGTGCAACTAGTAACTGAAGAAGAAAGATTTCGAAGCTCGTCGGAGCTCTGGAGTGCCCTCATGGTAGCATAAGCTCCAGCCCATACATGGAATATACATATATATATATATACCGATCTTACTTACCAATGTCTCTAATTGGGGTGGGGCCAAAGCTCAGGATCTGCGCGGCCACCGTGCAATGGTAGGACCGCAAAAGGATCAAGAATCATGGGCACCCTAGCATCACCCTGCCTGCTAGGTACATCACCTGGATCAAGACAGTGCTCAAACCGAAGGAGAAGCCTTTCAAGCAAGCAGAAGAGACCTTAGCCGTAGCCAATTCAAGGACATCAACTGGACCATGTGGCACGTCAACACAATCAAACGGCATCTACCCAACCCTAGAAATTCCAAGCACAAGCACATGGCACGACATGGCAACAAAAGTAAGCAAACATGGATGTCTTATAAGTCTTATGTTGAGGATTGCATGGGATTGCGTCTGGCCAAGGCACGTTTTCCTGCGTCAAGGTCGCCAACGAATCTGACAATATCTCAAGAGTCTGCTTTTCAGCACCTGACCGTCAGAAGAGGGCAAGGAGCAACAAGCACCAGAACGCATCAAAGAATATCAACAACTGATCCAATTGCTTCTTGTGTTTGACACAATTAATCAAAATTGTGAAGACGCACTAGGAAGTGCTTGTTTGAAAAGTGAGTTACAACGGGCCAAAATGTCCTGCGGCCAACACCAATGCTACACAATGATGCCTACAGTCCTACAGTACTGACACCTAGGGAGCTCAGTGTACGTACAAGGCGCTTCGCATCTCAATCCACCAGCTGGCCAGGTGAAAACCCGACAGAAACCCGACCTCTAGCCCAACCGGTGCCATACGGTGCCTAATGCCCGCACGGTACGGATCTGCGTTGCAGCCTGACGAAGTTCACCGCTCTCCACACCACGGGCTTTCTCTGCTGACTTTTGCAGTTGTGGAGTTCATGTGTGGACAGACTCGAGGATGGCCAAGATGCAAGCTGGAAACAATCCATCGTTTTCCACCACACCTAATTCAAAGTCGGTGATAGTCATTGGTATTTATTGGTATTCGTTCTCCTAGCATATAGGCCATCCAAAATCTTCAATGCAAAGCAACTGCACTAAAACAGGTTTCACGGCCGTCTCCTTTGACCAGCCTCATTGGTTGTCTGCCCAGCTACTGCATAGGCGTGCTCTGCAGTCTTGGAAGGGGTGTGAGCCTGCATCCACAAGGCATCCGCTCAAGTCAGTGTAAGGGGTCAAGGTTTCAATGTGTGCTCAGACTGATCTTGCACCCCTGATGCAAGGACATAGTGATGCATGTCTATAGTCTCGGGCGCCGACTATAACTGCAACTTTGATACCCAGCAAGGTGCAAATTGGCATCATCACAAGAAGTGCCAGGGCCTTGTCAGAACTGAAGCAACAAGCAGAAACTGCAAAGTCCATGTCAAACTTACAAAGACCTGTCGAGTTCAATTTGATTGTAAATGAAAGCTTTCGCGAGACGTGTTGGAGAGTATTTCACATGGATTCGCTTCTTGAAACAATTTCAACAACCAGCTCCTCACTTCTTGCGTCCACCCAGCCCTCCATCCATTCCAAGCCAAGCCAAGCTGCAAGCACCCATGATCCAAAGAAGCTCACAATCACACAAACAAGGCCTCGGATCAGCGCTATCATGGAAAGTCTTTCTTGGCCAAATCGTTGAGTAGCTTGAAACCTTAAGCATAGGAAGCAAAAGGCATTGCTGGCCACGGGAGTTCTTATCATCCTCAACCCAGGAGGAAGCACTCTGCATCAAAGCACTGGGTCTTATTAACATGGCTTTCAATGCACGACTGCCCAGTGCAAGGTCATCAAACCGTTTAGTTTAAACCTTATTGAATTGCAAATTATTTCGGGCTGATTGCAAACTACACACACAAAAGAAAAGTTACATCAAACCATTGCATGTTCAGTGTCTTTCCTTCGCCTCCTTGGATGGAATGCCCTGGATCCCGCCAAACTTCCCGCAGGCTGTCCTCACGCGTCCCTTTTACAACCCCGCATTGACCTGGCCAAGGTACATGTCATCACTCCTCAGGGTTTCGGCAAACAACCGCAAACAACAATGACCCATCATTTTTCATGTACCCCTCTACGCTACTAGCTTGAAAATATCTTAACACAGGGGACATAGGGGGAGGAGAAAAAACACAACGTTCAGCGCAGTTTGCAAGTTTCAAGTTTCAAGCTCTGCAACACCAAAAGTTATTCAAGACAACTCGACCCTCAAACACCCTAGCTCCTCCGGTGGTGTTCGCTAGGTTGATTCCAAACATCTGAGCCACACGGGTCATGTGCCTGCAAATCTGTGGCAATGGTTTGGGAGGGGGCTGGATGTCATGTCTCACAGAAAAAATCCACGAAACTTGAAGCCAAGACTTTCCCCACTGCATGGACTGGTGAGATCTGTTCGGATTCTTCAGGAGCTTTCTTGAGGCACTGGGTCACTGGATGATACATGATGAAACAATGGATGGCACTGGAAGTGGCACTGGACACTACACTCACTACACTCACTACACTTGTTCTCAGTGCCAATCAGTTCGCAGTTCACATCGGCCTCTCCAAGGAGATGAGAAGGCTACCCACTTGGTTCTCAGGCGCGTCGAAGAAGGCGATGTCAAGATCTGGCAATGTCAAGATCGGTTGACTCGTTGACCCTCCCGTTTGCTCATCAGGGTCCGGGGATCATCACAATTCCAATCATTCTCGGTCACCAAATGTTAGGCCATCGCTGTTAGGTTGGAGGCCATTGCTACTAGGTTGGAGGCCATCAGGACGCTCAATAGCACCGAGTCTTCATGGAAGAAACCCAGAACGAATTGCGCGTCCTCACCCGCTTCCTCAAATTGTGCTGAGGATAGGACGAATTATGGTGTCGAAGCATTTCGATCTTAGGCGCAAGGAGAGGCTTTCTTGCCTGAAGCCGCTACAATGGATTGCTGCGACAAGGCCAATTGGAAAAATGACGCATAAGACTTAGGAACAAGAGTAGAAAGGAAATGCGAGCATTTGGTTAGGCCTTAGATCCGATTCAGGCGCTCAAGCGCAAATGTCTCATGTACATGTTCTTCATCTTCCTTTCCCATGCGTCTACTGGGCTGTGCGGCACTTCGGGCAAATGTCTACTCTTTCCACGCACCGCTCGTGTTGTGAGCCGAGGCACAAATAGGTGGCCAGGCTGTTCTGCAAAAGCACGGCTGACCCACCGGCCAAGCCAGCGAGTCCCAAGCCGAAGCAGGCCTATAGCCCGGTGTTTTTGCCCGCTCCTAGTAGCGATGGCTCCCAACCTAATACCGATGGCCTCCAACCTACTAGCGATGGCGTCCATTCAAAAAAGAGCATTCTACACAAACACAATGATCTGCGTGTATCATTACATTCTTGCTGGGGGCGCGCGGTTATAGTTATAGTTATAGACTATCAAAGAAGCAGAACCAAGAAGGCTGGATATCCTCTGCAACAACACTTCAGGACACGAGAACTGAGCATTGCGGCAGTGTCCAGAGATCCCATGCTCGTCTCTGGAGCAAAAAGTGCAACGATGCCCTGCATCGAATGTCAGGAGCTTCTTGTTACTAGTAAATACTAGTATAATGGCCTCCAACCTAATATCGATGGCCTCCACCTAGTAGCTTCTTGTTTCGAGTCGCTTCTTGTTACTAGTAGTAACATGTGCTACAATCCCCGAAACAATCATGGAAGTGGATAATGGTCCCTTGGAAGACTATGTTCACCTGCCGTCGACTTCCGTCTTTGTTGCGCCGGCAGCGTGCACCAAGCTCGGAATGGATGAGCAAAGACTGCCAAGACTTCAAACCAGTGAATAAGCCAAAGCATCAGCACCTCACCCACTAAAAACGGAGTCTTGGGTATGCCAAAGCCTGGTTGAAGAAGACGGCTTGGAAGGGCGTGGCACAGGAGCTGCAAAGCACCACCAGAAATAGAAAGGGCAGAATCGCCCAATCAGGCCTGGAGACAAGAAGCTACCAGGGGCTGCTGGCCGTACTACTAGGAGCAAGAACGCTACTAGGGGCTCCTGGTATCGCTACTAGGAACAAGAAGCCATTAGTAATTAGGGGCTCCTGGCCGTTCCTGATGGAGACATCGACATTTATCATCATTTATCCTTGATCTGCAAATCTGATTGAATCCGTTGAGGGTTTAGAAATTAAGGATGATGAGTAAACCGGCCATGCAGGCCCCCCCCTCTCCGCCTAGCAATTAGGCATGCATTGCTCTCAAGCTTCCCACACAATATCAATCCATATCAATCCCACCCTGAAATAAGAGGATTGGTAGCAGGACGTGAAAAGTGTGGCTGGCGGCTGGTCTGTGAATTGCTTCATTGCTTCATCAACGACAGCCTTGCAGAAAACGGGCTAAAACTAATTTTAGGCCTTGCAGATTGGAAGAGCCGGCAGAAAACCTCAGTCAGTGTACACGACAGAAAAAGTACCGTCTCCGCTACACAGCGTGTGAACGCTGACAAAGCTGACGAAACATCTAATCTAAATCAAAGGAGAATGGCGGTTTTTCCAATCTCTGGCAGCAATTGACACCTGGATCCGCAAGGACTGGGTGGGTCTCGGGTGTGAAGTGCGCTGACAAAATGGTAAAAAGGCATTTGAAGGAACACCGCACCGCAATTGTTCTACAGTTCGAGCAACTTTGTTAGAAACAACACACAATTTAAGTGTAGAAGCTAGAGCTGTTTGGGAGGATTTGTACGCTAGAATTGGCAAAGTTTAGTGATTGGATTGTTGTAGCTCCCGGTCTGGCAGCCACAAACCCGAGGCCCTGACGTTGTTGACCTGCTTTTGAGGCTCCTGACGCATGTTGGCCGAAAATGGCCCCTGTCGAAAGCCAACGGTGCAATCAAGGTGACGATCAAAGCCACTGCGAAAGTTCTTCAAAACAATTGCATAGCTGAAGTGGCATCATGTTCCCTTGTCTGATGAATCCATCTTCGTCACCTAAATCCTCCCCTTGTTATCCTTTGTCTGTCCACATCTCTCCTCCACAATCGCAGTACCGTCTGCACTCATTCTGGTTGCCACCGTGCCAGCTCGCATCAGGGCAGCCCTGAACCACCGAAAACTGCAGCACCAAAGACCTTCTGACCACAAGAACATCCGAAACCTATGATGACAACGACCCCCGCCCCACCCTCATGTTCTAATATAATATGTGAAAGCTGTCTTGCCGTCGTGACACTTTACATCGGACATCCTCTTCAACCCGCTGAATCCCATCGTTCAGCCGTTCGGCTATAGGCAAGTGGCGGACCCAGGCGATGTTTTATGGGTCAGGTACTGAAGGTTCCGATGTCCAAAAAGCTCCTATCAAAAACCTGAAACCTTGGAGACCATTGCTATTAGGAGCAATGTTCGCTACTAGGAGCAAAGGGCATCGCTACTAGGAGCAAGGACGCTACTAGTAGCTCCTGGCCTTACTACTAGTAGCAAGAAGCTAGTAGGTTGGAGGCCATCGCTATTAGGCTGCCTAGCTTTGCTGGCATAGCGTAGCTAGTAACTAGTAGTTCCGGCCGCGCGACCTACCATCCAACTCGGACAGGTTGCACCACCCGAGACTGGGTCTCCCACCCCTCATCCACTGGAACAGCAGCCTGGGCACATTCAGAAGGCACCCTAGTAGCTTCTTGTTACTACTAGTAAGGCACCTGTTACTACTAGCGTGGCACTTGTTTCTACTAGCTTCTTGTTACTACTAGTATGCCCGGGTTGATCCTTCTAGTGATTCGTGCGTGTCTCGTTCGCGTCTTTTCAGGCTGAAGGAACGGTCGTTTATGAGCTCTGGCACGAGCGACTCAAACATATGCAATCAGTCTATCAGTGCCACTCTGTGCCACTCTGGCATGCTACAAAGTTTTGGCTGACCCCTACATTTGCACAAGAAAACTCACTCGCAACTGACCAGTGCTAGCGCGGACACCTTGTTGTGGGCATCTTGCATCTTAATCGTGTGAACTTGTGAAAGGTCAAAGCCGCCCAGCCATTCAAGCAACCCGACAATGCAGTAATTACAGTTACAACATACATAGACATACATAGCGGCATAGCACTCGGCATAGTATAATTGCCAGCGCAACTATTAGTTGCTTCATATCCGCACCTCGTGGTCTTGTTTCTCCTCATCCGTAGGCTCCCGCCTCAGAATAGAGAAAAGCACGGTGCTTCAGCTAAGAACCTTGTGAAAAGTGTATTTGGTTTTGAGGCTTCCAATTCTGCACCAAATTGTCAACAAGCTACACATCCACCTACAAATGCTAATCAGATGGCACAAGAGAGACGCCTGACCCACGGTGTGATCACTGGCATACAAACTTGGAACTCGCCAGCAATCCTGAAGGATGGCCACTCCCAGTGTGTTTTCTTGGTGCGTGGCTCCTCCGTTCTTTTTTTCTTTACTTTCTCTTTCTCCAAAGCCAAGGGGCTGCAAGTTCGCCATGGTGAAGTAGACAGATTTCCTCAGGTGCTGTGCCATTGGCCCGTCGAGGGCTGAGGCAGTTCGCACACTCAACGCTTCGATACCATGGGCTTTGCCTCCGCAAATCCATACGAATCGCCCTGGTGTGCCCTGCGGTGCTTCTTGATATCATGAAGTGGTACATCGCAAGGTAACGTCAAGGTTTGGGTTTCGCAATATCACACCCAGGAGAAAAAAATGGAATCGTAGGAAAGGCTTGCATGAGCTACCTCACACTCACAGCTCGCAATCTTCGACGTCAGGGGGCTGAGCCATAAGCTCCTCATGGGAGCCCTGTTCGCAGCAAGTTCCTCCTTTCATCACGTAGATCACCTGAGGTTGGCAGCTTCAACATGGTGCGTTAAGTTTGAATCTTTAGAGTTGGGTTGTCGAAGGTTGAGTGACGAACATCATAGAGCCGTGATGTGGTATGCTTAGAAACAAGGCAGCTGCTCCCGCGCAACTTGCACAAAACATGTTCGACTCTCGAATATGGAGTCCAGGGAATCAAATGAAAAAAGCTGACACAGCCCGCAGCGCTGAGGCTCCAACATCTGATGCCATGATAGAAGTCAACCTGCACAGGTTCTCAGCCGTGCAACAACTTGTTCTCGCGGAAAAACATCACCTTGGCCTAAAATTACTCCAGAGTTAGAGTGATCCATGCCATGTCCAGCTTTGTGGTGGGCAGCTTCTTTGAGGGATTTTGAGCTGAGTGCGTATAAGCTACTACATGCTATATACTACTATCCTCAAGCAAGCCGGATGAGAGAAGCCCCTTGCTCACGCATCGATGGAAATCATCGAGCAAGTGGCTCATTGAGTAGCAAGCTAGCAACCTAATAGCCGCTTGCATGCACCCTGTGACCAAACCAGCTCCATTACCAAAGCGAAGTCATCCAAAATGAGTGGACGGGCTACAGTACCGTCTGTGAATGCCGTACTTCATTTCGACTGTCGCAACATTCCGAAGCTAGTCGATCTACATGGTGACGCCAACGGAGAAACCAAGGCTCCTTGAAACCACCTTTCGATCTCGCCTGTGGGCAATGGAAATGGTCGTCAAGTTGTGGTCGACGTTGTGCTGCAAGGAATCCAAAGTCTCCTTTGACAAGAGCTGATGTCGCACGTCAAACGTTGAAACTTCAGACTGGTCACAGCCACAGCCGCCTTTGATGGACTAATTACGCGCACACACACACACTAGATACGAGAACATCTACAATCCATCACATTGTAAGGATCGTATTAAAATAGTGTCTTGTCACTATCTGTGGCGTGGCAAGCGGCAAGACATCAATGCTGCAGTGATCTTTAGTGTAGGGCGAGGCAGAGTATGGCAAACATGGAAACAACATCTTGAGATTGAGATATATCATTGTAATATACCTGTTCAAAGATCTCAGCAAATCCTGCACCATTCGTTCGGACTCGTTGTCCAATGCTGATGTTGCCTGGGCCGGAAGTGCAAACTCGGTGATGGATCCCTTGCAGCCTAAGTTCGTGCTACATGGACAAAATCAACTGTCCTGAAACCACATTGTCCTCACTAGACATGAGCCTCGTCCAGCAATAAGATCTGCGGTTGCTTGGCCAGGGCACGCGCGATCGCCACCTTGCGGTGTATGGGCCGTAGGAGCTTCCCTCTCCCTTCAGAACATTTGAGTGCCAATGAGTGCCACGTGGGAGAACAAAGTTGACAGTTCGATGTTTCAAAGTCATTCCTCAAGCACGAGGAAACGCGAGCATGGTCCAAGCCAGCCAAGCTGCACGCTGCCGTTGGCCACCAGACAGCAAGTTGCCTGGCCAAGGGTGCCAGGAAGACATGTTTGGCAGTGCTCTTCGATCGATGTTTGGCAGCGGCATTTCTTCAGTTGCTGCGAGCACCTGCGAGGCCGACAAAAGTATCCAGTTGCTGCGGCAACTTTGCGAGGTCGTTGTAAATCTGCGCATCCTGGGCCGCCTGCAGAAGCGATTCGGAGTGAGCTGCAAGGGCCCCGGGTTGAGTACATGGAACAAAACGCAAAGAGCAACGGAACGTGACCTACTCAGGCGAATGTGCCCAGAGCTGTTGCAAGCAGCAACTGGGCGTGGCCTTGATGGCAACTTCATCAGTGATGTTGTCATCCCCCATCTTCAAGTTCTTCATGGCCTTGGTCTCACAGGCATCAAACAATCAAGAATGAGTTCAATAATTTGATTTAGATTCATGGCCATGGTTCCTGTGTGGTCAAGTCAAACATCTAACATGCTCATATCAGCTATGCTGTCATGTTGTTGAAGGCTCTATTCGCTCTATTCCTGCCATTCTCACCTTCGTTTGACGCCCTCAGCTGGGTGCCCGAGCAGAAGTGGCGAAGAGCACCGGCTCTTGGCCCACAAAGCCAATCAGCTTCCGCCAAGACTGGATGGCACTTGTAGCTGGTGGTGGGGCTGTTAGAGCGGAGGGATATGGAGATCTGCAGGGATGGAAGCCATGAACATAGCAATGAACATTGTCGATCCTTCTGTTGATATGTGTTGATCAATCAAAGCCCGGATTCAGCATACTTCAGTCTGTATGGTAAGTGCAGGTTGTTTGGGAGTGTTGTGGCATGAAGAAACTGTTTGGAACCGGCAAGTTGCTAAAGCAAGCGGTCCCCTTCTGCGTTTCCACCTATCGGTAAGACGCATTACCTGGTTTAAGTTTTCGCCATCGGCAGAGTTGAAAGCTTCCTTCTACAGTAGACGGATGGGAGACAACCACATGCTACCTTACCTTCGCTTCCTGGATGCAATAGAAACAGTTTTAGTATGGGGGCAGGAGCCCCTAGTAGCGTCCTTATTCCTAGTGTCGTTAAGCGCCCAATAACCAAGAATCAATATGAATCAATCAGTAGGACTCCAAAAGGATCAAGCACCGAAGAATGGAACCTAAGACTTTCTCCTCAGCCTCCCACCGTGGCACCCACCGGAAGGTGGGTCCATGTGGGTCCCACATCCCTCTCATCTCTCATCCCTCTCCTTGACTGGAAGTCGGAAGAGCGGGACGCCGTTCACAAGAATCTCGCCTGGCGAAATCTGAACAAAGAGAGCCTCAAAAAGAAAGGAAAGCAATGCTTTACAGCTTTACTAATGAATTCGCGGAGACCGTTGGAGTCAAAGACCATCAAGGACCAAGGCCAAAGGTCCAAGGTCAAAATTTATGGAAAACACTTGGCTGAACAAAGGGGTCACACTGGCGGCTAGGCCTGCTTCTGGGTCGTAAAACCGCTCCAACAGCTGGATGGTCGTGCTCTTGCCTGTTTGGAAGCAGCAGAATTTGAGAACCTCGTCCCGGTGTCCAAACATTCTGCATCCCAAAACTACTGTGCACCAAGCAGCCGCAGCCACTTTCCCCAACAAAAGCGATCTTCTGGCCCTTCTTGACCTGGAGAATCAAACAGGATCACCGAAACTCGAAACATGCAATTGGCAATGATGTCTTGCTTGCGCAAATGCTCCGAGTCTTGAGTCTCGAGAGATTGCACTCGAAGCGGAGATGCAGGGCGTTGCAGGGCACATGAAGGAGCATGTTTCAAGCGAGCACATTGGCACATGGCACATGTTTCAAGGCGCAAGGGCCAATAAATGTGATGAATTCAAAGAACAAATGTATAGAATAGATACGTGTTGGATTGATGTTCAAGCAGGCCCGAAATATAAAACCCAAAAAATCACACTTGAGGTCACCAGCCTCGAAGCTGAGCTTGTTCAAGACCAACCGATCTGGCCGCTTCGGATACCTTTCCAACGTCAAGCCCGTTTGTGCGCCCGTGGTCTGAAAACTTCCGTTTGGTTCCCGCACATGAAGCCTCCCCGCAAACCTCCCCACATGAATGGAGCCCACATAAACAGGGCTATCAAAGCTGGATGGACACGCCCAGTGAGGCACCTGAAGCATACCGATTTGAACTCGATGCTCTCGATGACCTGTCGAGAGGTTCCAGCACGGGACAAAACCGGCACGAAGAAGGCTACTTCAGATGTGGCTGAGCCAAAGCCTAGTGCAACACATGGCAATACATGGACTTCAGCCCCGCTACAGCATCACAGGTGGCACAATCCAAGCACCAAGCCTGGAACATCATGTAAACATGTTGGTTGGTTAGGTGGCCAATAGCACTCACCAAACCCTGCGCTTGCATGAAGCACGAAGAAGCACGAAAAACATGCAACATGTAGCAGCATTTTGGGCCCACAATGGCCCGCAAAAAGAAAGAGAGAGAGAGGTCCTTGCTCCTAGTAGCGATGCCCTTTGTTACTACTAGTGGTAACTTAGATAACCGATATCAAGTTTCACCCTCATAGGTCAACCTCATATGCCCTGATAGCTTTTCTCCAAATCCGTGTGGTGTGTGTGGTGCCTGCACTTCTGGGGGCAGCGGCCGGAGCATAAATTCCTCTGGCTCAATTTCATGTGCCTTGGAGGCGATCACCTGGCAACAGTTTTCTGACGTGCGTCATGAGTCATGACACATGCAGCACATGCACAAAAAACGGCTTTTTTGGCCAAAGCCAGCACGCTTTACACCGTTCATGCGAATTCTGATTCTCCTCAACCACTGATCTGAATGCTTGGCATGCCAAAGTATGCAACTTGCTTTGACCATTGTTAGGCATGAACCAGCAGACGTTAAGCCTCGCTTTGCCAAAAGGGACTGAAATCATGAGCTCGACTGCAGTGGCTTTGTGTAGCACATTCATGTGGGTTTGGGCCATGTATTGGCCCACCAACACCATGTCGTCTTTTTGGCTGTCCTCCTTTACGTTTATTGTGTGCTATGGGTTGTATCCGTTCCAGCGTATGTGCTTGAAGCACTGGTTGTGTGCGGTTGGACTGGACGCAAGCCTTCTTCATGTTCCTGGCCGATGCTATTGCCCTTGCCATTGTAGGCGCATGGCCACTGAACTGGCTGACACCAGCGATGCCCACCTTGGCCCAATCTTCCGACGTCCACGTCCATGCTGAACATGACTAGCGTCCTGGTTCCTAGTAGTAAGGCCAGGAGCCCCTAATAGCTTCTTGTTCCTAGTAGCACGGTCTACAAACCAAAGTTGCTCCAATAACTCAAACAACAGCGAAACTTTGTTGACACATGTGCTAACACTCTGAGCACTGCCGAGATGGACTAAGCGGCGATAAGTGCAATCATGACGGTTACCACGGCTTCTTCATTCTCCAGAACCTCAGATCCCAAACTCCATGCCTGGGTGGCTGTGCTGGTGTTCCAATGTGCTCATTTATACTTTGTTCGGATTTGCTTGGATTGCAAGAAGCTACTAGGGGCTCCTGGCATCGCTACTCGGAGCAAGGACGCTACTAGGGGCTCCTGGCCTTACTACTAGGAGCAAGCATTTCTCACAAAATATGCGCGCTTCCCTTCCCAATTGGTTCTGCTCGACCCTCCCAGGTTCAGTGCCTCATTCTCGGCACCATGTGTTGGTTTGCAGAAACGGCACCATCAGCAAATTAGGTTGGGAAAGGATACTTCATAGCAGGGACAGGGCTCCGGCTGAGATGAATGGTTCTTGCTCTACAGAACTTTGAATCAAAATCATCGTCTGCTTTTGCAGCCTATGCGATACACCTCGCACTCAACAACTTCACCCACACACAAGTGGCATGTAGAAATGGTAGTGCACACTTTACACACCACCGTCACCGGCCAAAATAATTTCTTTGAGCCAAGCATCGCTGCTGTTTCTCAGCATGATATGTCCACCGAGGTAAAGCGTCACGGCATAGATGAGAGCGTAGGTGAAGTTCAAGCCACCCCACGCGAAGCCAATCTTCGCCCCAGATCCTCAAGGAGCTTTTTTTTGTTAAATGATATTTTTGTTTTTTCCGCCTGCGGGGGGTAGGCCACGGATAGAGGAAGAGGTAGCTATACTTGTTAGCTACTACTACCTACTGGACGCAGGATAGCTCACGCTAATGAGTTGGTTCTAGATCTTCAGGGAAACTCGATGATGTTGGACAGCTTCTGGCAGCATCCAGGAGCATCAGCTGTAGTTTGCAGTCGGTGTAGTTTGCAGTCGGTATCCATTTATTATCCTAGCTGATTACAGTCTAATTCTATAAGGCCGGAAAGCGTGTCCCCGCGTCCTGATGTGTATGATGGATGTGGTCAGGGATGCTATTTGACCACCTTGTCATGGTTGCATGTTTAATCACAGTCTTCATCGTAGACCCCAAAGCCTTCCATCTCTCTTCATGGATCTGAAAATTGAATCTTCAAAAATTCCTCCATCTTGGAAAACGTGTTTTCTTATTTTTTCTTAATTTTTCTTCTCTGAGGGTCGGATGCCTCCCATCTTCGCAGCAGTAAGCTCACTTTCGAAACGCCGCCGTGTGGTCTTTTCGGCACCAAAGGCGGTGACCGTGCGGATGCCCATGATGGACTCCTCCGCCACACTGGACCTTGAAGCCGTGAGGCAGAAGCTGAAGGGAGCAAGGACACTAGGGGCTCCTGGCATCGCTACCAGGAGCAATGTTCGCTACGAACGGGGCTCCTGGCCTTACTACTAGTAACAAGAACGCTACCGGTTACCAGGAGCAAGAAGCCACGGACCACGGTTTCGGACACCAACAGGAAAGACCACTGTTATCTCTCTCTCTCTCTCTCTCGGTTTTGGACGCTGCCCTTCCCCTAAAGAGAAGGCTTTCGTTTACCCCAAGTCATCTAAATTCGTCTTCAAGGCACGCTTTCGCAAAGTCTTCCGCCTGCGCGCTATACGAACCTTCGATCTCCTGACAGTCAAATCTCATCGATTCACCATCCACTGGGTGCAAAATAAGCAAGTGTAGAATACACACTGTGACCCGTTTGAATCTAGAATCTTCAGATGAGCCTACAGAATCCCAAAGGCCCCGCAGTTGAAGAGTTCGCATCTGCCGCAGCTGTTCAAGCCATGAATGAGAGCCAGCCTCCTATGCCATAGCCCAAGCACCTTCTTCACTCGGATTACCCCAAACTGCTGCATAGGCAACTTGTGGCTCAATTCCACGCTAAGGAAACGCACCGACTAGATCCAGTCCAGAGCACTCTTGTTGCTACCAGCAGGGGGCGCGCGCATTTGCAAACCAAAGACATGTTCAAGGCAGTACCAGCAGTCTTGTAGAAGGAAGAGGCAACAAAATGAAGCAGGCAGGCATGTTTGTCAAAACACCTACAATGACTCAATGACCATCAGGTCACCTCCACACTGGTGGAGGTGTTTGTATTAAGGTCAACTCCCGCTCCTTCCCGAGTCGATGCCCAGCGAAGACCAGCAATGGCGCGATGGCACATGCAACCAAAGAGAGCTGCCAGCTTTCGATAAAGGCCTAGGCACAGCCCGCAATCACGCGGCGGAGTTTGCGGAGCATCAAACATGCAAGGAAGATCCGAGCCCTTTAGTGAAGTGGACTCTAGCTACTCTAGCCTCAGGAGTGCGGGAAATGGGCCTTTTCAGGCGGAGTCTAGCGGTCTACATTCTATAGCACACTGCTGTGGTTCTATCAAGCTACAGGTGCCAAACCATCCTTCAACATCGAGAAAACCAACCCCCGAGGTACCCTGGAGAACTTCCTGAGAAGCCCGGGCAATGGTGATGCCGGACACGAATTGGCCAATGCAGCAGACGAGAAAACCCAAGCCCGCAGACATGAAGGTGTGAATAGCCTCAGGCGTCTTCGGGGCATCATCACCCCTCTCCGAGGCAATCGCACAACATCTGAAAAAGATTTGAAGAGCAACATCCTTCGCACATAATACACCTGTGCAGATTGTGCAGCCTCTATGGATCGGCAGTTCTTGCCATGTAGCTGTGATGTCCCCCTGGAGTCTTGCTGCGATACCTGCACAACGAAAAGTCTCAGGAAGAGATACCTGCAAGACTGGAGATTTGTTCAGAACATAGACATAGACTCTCAGGGATCATCCTGTCGCAAAACCGTATAGGGACGATCAAGGAGATTCTTCGCAAACCTGCACTTGTCGACATGCGCTCGCAAGTTGCACAAGAACCTGCTGGCTCATGTTCATCATACCAGGGGATGTCCATCGTCACCAACGACCTTGGCCGAAAGGTCGAATCGAAGCCCCTACGACTTCGACGGGCAGCGAATCGGTGGAAGCTCTGAGATTGGAGGCCATCGCTATCAGTAACAAGATCGCTACTGGTATAGCAATAACGCTACTAGTAGCTAGGGCATTACTACTATAGCAAGGACGCTTCCAGGTTAGAGGCCATCGCTATTAGGTTGCAGGCCATCGCTACTCTACGGGCAAAAAGACATCAGGCGCATGATCAGGACTCCGGTGCATTCCCTACACGCAAAAGCTCAGCAGCAATCGAACTAACTGGACCTGAAAAATAGATGTCACACATTGAAGATTGAATTTGACTTAATTCTTGTTTCTAATGGCTTCTTGTTACTACTAGTAAGGCCCTTGCTCCTGGTAGCGATGCACTTAATAACACATTGAAGAACATAGAAGAACGCTATTGCACAAATTAGGCGACTTGATGAACTTCATCTGCCAACGGCAAGCCTCGGAGAAGCTGTCACGTCCGAAGTGCTGCACATCAAATGAGACAAACGCAAGGAGATAACAACTGATTCACAAGGCTGCAGGCTGCAGCTGAAGAAGTTTTCAGCGCATTCCATCAGGTTTCTTCTTACTAAGTGCTGCTGTTACGATCTGTTACGCCAGCATGCAGCAATCAAGCATGGGGCACTTGTCCGCAACACCTGGGCCTAAAGTGTGAATGTCAAATCCCATTTCCAGTCGGCCCGAGGAATCGCTATGCTACTGGGACGCTACGTCCGGCAAGGACGTTACTAGTAGCTCCTGGCATCACTACTGCAAGAATGCTACTAAGAACAAAGGGACAAAAATGAAAGGAAATGCTATGCAAATCCCACGTCATTCGACTCTCCCTCGCGGCGCCTGTTTGGCTGCGGACCATGCAAAGCACCAGGACCAAAACCAGGCAAGGAGAAATTGTGATCCCGCAAATGCTCCTGCGAGGAGTCACCGAGTCACCTACATACCTAAACACACCTCGATCAGCCCACCTCAACCACGCACCAAGTGAGAAAGCGAGAAAGCGGGAAAACCAAAGAGAATGTCGTAGAAACTAAACAGTGGGCCTAGAATGGACCTGTCACTGCGGAGAAAAAATAGCGCTCTGAGTTGGTTGCAGGCCCAAAGTGCACACCGCCACAGGCATATCATATCACGTTCTTCCTTTGTTTAGTTCAGGAAGTCCCCAAGTAGCGTCCTTTGCTCCTAGTAGCGATGCCCTTTGTTCCTAGTAGCGTCCTTGCTCCTAGTAGTAAGGCCAGGAGCCCCTAGTAGCTTCCTTGCTCCTAGTAGCGATGCCCTTGTTACTAATAGCTTCTTGTTCCTACTAGTAAGGCACTTGTTACTAGTAGCGATGCCCTTGTTACTAGTAGCTTCCTTGCTCCTAGTTCAGGAAGTCAGGACGTCCCCAAGTTTATATTCGTTGAAGCACATCAGAGGATTAGAAGGGTGTCGTTTTTCACGAAGCCGGGCCTATCCGGCCAAGCACGGGCGTCATGTTTTCCAGCAACCGGGAGGGCTCTGACGTTGTCAGCACGGCAATGGCTTCCTTGGCAAGTCTTGGCTGCTTCGAAAACTCACTCTGGACTATACCGCCTTCGTCTCACGCGACAGTCTGAGCTCACATCCTACTAAATCTTTCAAGTGACTCCAATACAATTTAGTAGGAGCAAAGGACGCTACCAAGGTCTCGGACTCCTGGCCTGCTAATTGCAGTCATTGCATTAAATTCCCTGTATTGGCCTTGACCCTCCAGGGCTATATCACCCGAATGGATCCAAGGGACAGCGGTCAAGACCGCAACCAGGGGTGCTGTGACACCCTGTGCCAAAGCCAAAAAGCCTCCGGCTTGAGCTGTTTCGGGGAACCGCGGAACCAATGTGCACGATTGAATCTGCAAGAACAATGTGGAATAGGGTGGGAAACTATGCATGAAAACTTGTGATTTGCAGAATTCTGTGTTTGTGTCTTCAACCAGGGCCAAGGACAAAACCACACCACAGCTCTCAACCCGCCTCCTCCGAACAAACTGATTTTCTCGGCCCAGGTGGTCTCGGACAAGACGTCAAAGTTGCTGGGCCTCGGATGCCCTGCCCATCCGCCCTCCAGCCCTAGTGGCGAACATTGCTCCGAGCAGTAAGGCCAGGAGCCCCTAGTAGCGTCCTTGCTCCTTCAGCCTTTGGTTCACATGCATGTGCAGCAATAAGTAGAACAGCAAAGCAAGCTGATGAGATCTTGTGAGTCCTTAGGACTGTCGAATGTCATGACTCTTTTTCTCCACCTGCCTATAAGGCACTTGGTAAGCCCCCACTGACTTTGGGTGGAGTATGCAAATGGAATAGACAATTCAATCACAATTGTTCTAGAATGCGCATGCTCTAGTATCGCTACTAGTAGCACGGGCATCGCTACTAGCAGCAAGAAGCTACTAGTTACTAGTAACTACCAGTTGATCCCAGTTCATCCATTCGTCTCAATGTTGATCCTAGTAGTAATGCGAGGAGCTACTAGTAGCTTCTTGCTCCTAGTAGCGATACCCTTTGTTCCTAGTAGCGCCCGTACAGTATGCGCATGCTCTGTCAGAAATAGTAAGCTTCTTTGAGTCGGAAGCAGTGCTGAAGACGAGTCTCTCGAGTTTCATCGATTCAACTGCGAGGCGCCGACAGTTCTCACTCCAAACAACACATTCGTTCAAAATGAGTAATTATTGCGACATCGAAGTAAGTTTGACAGGACTGAGAGGGTAGACCGGTAAGTGGAGTAGCTTAGTACTTAAGCTTAGTACGAGGTAAGACTGAGGTAGCAGACTAGTAGCTTACTAGTATTATTAGCCACGTACCATTGCTACTGGGACGCACTGACTGCTCAAGCTTGGAAGTGTCTCCCGCCCTCCAAGAGTTGGGGGAGCTGAGCTTGTTTGAAGAAGCTTGAAACAAGTTTTTAAATTTCCATAGGTTTGGTTCCTGGATTTTTGGGAAACTATACATTTGGAGACTTTTTGGCCTCTGTATTAAGCACTAAACAAGTCCCCTCGCCCAGCCTTACATTAACAATCTCAGCAGTAAGTTATTATCTTCCCTTGTGGCCAAAGCTACGCCGACAGTTCCGAGTCCTCTCTTTGCTTTCCAGGCTCCTATGAAAAGACTTCCGACGAAAAAGAGATTGTGGCAGTGGAGTGTGAGGGGAAAAGGCTAAGAACCCTGAATATCCCTACAATGACTGAATGCCACAGGCCACAAAGCATTCAAACCAAATAGCTAAAGAATTGGTGGAAAGTTCTCTTCTCATGGCTGCATGGCCGCCAGCCTCATCAAGCTGAACTTCCTTGTCGGCCGCTTCTGGGTCGTCTTGCTCAGCCTGAACAGGATGATGTGCTCTTAACTTGAAAGGCTCCACCCCTCCGGAAGGCTCTTCAAATCATGTCGTGGAAATATGCAAAAAGAGCCAGGAAGAAATAAAGGTCCAAAACAAGTAACATTTAAAATGACAGACAGGAAAAAAAAAAACAAGAAGAACAAAGAAACCTACTAGCGATGGCTTCCAACCTAAGGGCGATGGCCTCCAACCAAATAGCCATGGCCTCCAACCTCATAGCGATGGCCTCCAACCTTTATATATATAATAGAAAGGTCTAGGCGTCTGAATGACAGAAAGAACACGGAGAAGGCAGGCTTGATTTTCTGATGGAAGACTCTAGAGGCGCTCTCCAAGGCTGGAGTCACAGTGTGCTCTACCGACTCTACCAATTCAATCATTCTTGTGCCACATCCTCAATGTATAGTATTACCAACCGTTGCCGCATGCTTTCCAGGGACGTCCCTCAAAACACTAACTCCTGGACCCGCCTGAGTCCTTCCAAGTAGCCTTGGCAGCACATCCTTGCGGGTCTGTACGAGATTGCTCTGCCGGTTTGTTCGAAAGGGAAGAAAGAATTGGGATTAGCATCTTCAAAGTCCAACGTGTCTGCATGCCTGGAACTGATTTACTACAGAACGGAGAATTACTCCCAGCAAGAACGCTTCGAAACTTCTCTCATGGCTTTGAGGGCCCACACTCTTGCAAATATATTACAATAATTACATATCTATTTATGTATAACTTATAGATATATACATTATTATACATTCTCTTTGGGGTAGTGACATGTACGTGTTAGTTGGGGTAGTGACTCATCCAGCAGGACTCTCTATCCATGAATAGCAGTTCTGTCTGCATCTGTCTCCTCAGATGGCACTGCCTGCTCGCTTTCCACGCGTGCGCTTTCCATGTTTCTCACGAGCAGGATCTTCTCAGGTCCTGAGATGGATCTCCTTGAGCAACATAAGCTGCACATATAACATGTCGAGCTGCGAAAAAGCTGCGAAGGAAAAACATTGCGACAGCATTCACAGCTGTTGGAGTTTTCAAAGGAATTGAATCACAAAACACCTGGCTTGCGCACAAATTTGGGGGAAACAAATTGACAACGAACCACTCTCAAGCTTAAACAGCTTCGAGTGTTTATTTACAGTAGAACTTTGCAACATGAGTGTCATGCACATGGCCTTGCTCATTTGTGGGTGATGACGTGGCCTTTCAGTTTATCCCATGGGCAATTTAGAGTGAAGAAGTCTCAGTCGTCATACCTTTTGCAATTGATCTTTCTCACAAGATCCCATTTCGCACTTGAGTGGGCAAATGGCAGGAACTCTTTGTCAGGTGTTGCTCATGATGCTCATCCCGGCCATGGTCCCACACTATCCTCCATCTCAGCCTGCTGGCCCACCGGGCCTGAGTTGTGGCAACAAAAGGTGTCCCAAAAAAGGCATGTGACATGGTTGAACGCACAAAGCGATGGCCTCCAACCTACTAGTGTGGTGCTTGGAAACTTCGTGCCGAGACCGAACAACGGAACACGACAATTGACACCCCTCCACCGGTGTCCCACTCGAATCTCCACCGGCGCAACAGTGAAGTTAATGAACCAAGAAAAAACGCACCGATGCTGACCTTTAGCGTGGTGTTCACGTATTGTTGCAAACATGTTTTGGCATAACAATAACTTGCATTTGCAATGCATACGTAATAGGTAGGAGGCCATCGCTATTAGGTTGGAGGCTCAGAATTCATGCTTACCGGGCTTACCGTTCATGCTTCGGAAACTCAACATACTCAACTCTCAGATACCGGCTCGATACGGCGTATTCCCACCTCTCAGGATCCAAATGGCTACAGGGACTGTGCTTACCGTGACCCTGATTACTCTGCACTTGTATTATACATTTGTTTTTCAATTAGCAACTTGAGCTTGAGTGGCTGCGGGGACTGCTTGGCATTCAGAACTTCAGGAAGCAACGGTTCTCGACCATCTCCTATCCAGTTGTTTCACTTTGGGTGGGGGTCCTTCAGATTCCCTGCCATGGCGGCCCCAGCCAACTGTTGATGCGCACGCATGCCCCAACAGCGTCCAGCAATTCTGCCTCCAACCAACTGCCTGCACCTGCGTCTTGGTGCACCTAGCACGTTGCCAAGATCGGAGCGCAGCCCTGATAGTGGGGGGCAGTAGAAGAGGTCTCCACTGATTTGGGGCAGACATCGCGCTACAAGGCTAAATGTACCACTCCATTTAAGGACAGTCCCACTGCACAGTCTACGTCAAACAAACAAACGCCTGCCACGCACCTGAAGTGAGAGGCCACTCGCAGACCAGGCATCTTCGCCCTGCCAAATCTGTATGCCTCAGTGCTGTGCCTTGACCTGGCTAGTAGTAACAAAAAGCTACTAGAAACAAGTGCCACGCTACTAGTAACAAGTGCCTTACTAGTAGTAACAAGAAGCTACTAGAAACAAAAAGCTATTAGAATTGCCTTAAAGTACTTTCTGCACCACGCTGCTTGTGTTTGCGGCCACCTCCTCGGGTGAGGTGGACAAGTGAAGTAGCAGCTGCACCTGCCTCTTTGGGCAACTTCCTCAACCCCCCACCACGCGCGAAAAAGCTCCTAGTAGCGTCCTTGCTCCTAATAGTAAGGCCAGGAGCCCTTAGTAGCGATGCCCTTTGCTCCTAGTAGCGTCCTCAACCCCTCGTCTGGGAGCCATCTTGGGCGGCACAGCCAGGCCGTGCCAACCGGCCAGTTGGCACAGCACTTTGACGTGGCCCTCATTTATCGGTGAATCGGGTAAAACTACAGAATCTTATTCACAATGACCTGACCATCGCTAGTAGGTTGGAGGCCATTGCTACTAGTACCACGAAGCTACTAGGAACAAAGGGCATCGCTACTAGGAGCAAGGATGCTACTAGAAGCTCCTGGCCTTACTACTAGTAACAAGAAGCTAGTAGGTTGGAGGCCATTGCTACTAGTAACACGAAGCTACTAGGAGCAAAGGGTATCGCTACTAGGAGCAAGGACGCTACTAGGGGCTCCTGGCTTTACTCCTAGGAACAAGAAGCTAGTAGGTTGGAGCCCATTGCTTCTAGGCTGTTGGAGGCCCTACAAACATGTTTCTAAACGTGGCATCTGCATCCCAGGCCGCAGATTGAATACCCAAATTTCAAACGCCTGTTCTCGTGCTTGTTGGTGTTGCGTGTGACGTCGAAACCGATACCTCCAAGCTTCCAGCATCTCGGCACAGATGTTTGCCTGTCAAGACTGACTCCGAGCCATGCCTGGACGAGGGCACCGAACATGAAAGCAACTCAACACGCTGATATATTTGATATTGTAAAAACCACACTTGAGGTGCACTAAACAGCCCGAAGGGCTGCCTGAATTACAGTGGCCAGCTTTGAATCCAAAGAATGTTAGTAAACTGCTAGTACTGTTGCTTCAAAATCTCCTTTGATGCCACTGACATCATCTCTCGAGACCTATCCCGGGTGTGTGAATAGGCCCGGCCTGCTCCGAGCAAACGAGACAGCTTGCTTGCCAAAAGGTCGATGCATTCTGGCCAAAGGGATGAAGCACATACAAGCAGTATGTTTCGGCACGTATCAAATGATTGCCAAAATGATCCAAGAATACGAACAGCATTTGGATCACCCAAAGCCCGCAAGAGTTTGATGTACAGTAAATCAGGGGCTGTTGGCTCCTCGCATTTACAAGCGCAAACACATCTGGATTCACAAAGTAGCTAAAGTAGAGCAATAAGTACCATCGCGTAGCTATATGAAGGCTTTTTCATGGTCGTAAGTGGCCTACCGCGTATCCACCTGCAAATTGGACAAAAGACGCTACGAACGGGGCTCCTGGCCTTACTACTAGGAACAAGAAGCCACTAGAGGCTCCTGGCATCGCTATTAGGAGCGGTCGGATGCTATTAGCTTATAGTTTCTACTGGCTTCTTGTTACTACTAGTAAGGCACTTGTTACTACTAGCGATGCACTTGTTACTGCTCCTACAACAACTTTGGAAACCACAAGGTCGAAGTCCCCACCTGCGAGCCGACCGCCAGCTCCGCACCGTGTTGCTCAACGTAGCCCGACGAGATTGTCAGCCCAGAGACCTGGCCCAAGTGTTGACTCATTGCTATGAGTATCTTTCCGAGTATATCCTACTTGGAATGTCTTCCAACCTAAAAGCGATCGCCTCCAACCTAATAACAACGGGCATGCAATTGAGTTTACATTGTTACCTGATTACATCTATACATCCGTGTATGTGCATCATATGTGAGCAATCATATGCTCGTTGATTGTATTGACGGACAACTGATATCAATCGAAAAAATATGCATATTGATAGACATTGGTGTCGCTATACCGGGCGCGTCACGCACACAATATCATTGCAATTGAAAGAATATGTTTGAACTTTTCCTCGGCGGCATTCTGCCCTGCCATGTTACTTGTCGGGCCCCCTTTGCAAGTCCAGAGCAGGACTTGGACATGCAGCACCCACTCCCACTCTCAAAGACAACTTCAACAGCTGCCTCGGTCAAGCAGCTCAGGTCTGAGAAGAAACGAAGACCGCTCACCTGAGAAGAGCTCAGTTCACAAAGCCAAAATCCAAAAAGCCTCGAAGATCTGAACAAAATTGCGACTTTGTGTACCGGCAAAGGCCTCAAGGAGCCTACCAAGCTGAAGGGCTATGAAGGCCAAAGGCCAAGCTCCAAACACGCCAGCCTCGTCGGTTCGGCCTTAGCTATGACATTCAACGTCAAAAAAACGACTTGATGACGTCAAATGTGCAGTTCTGAATGTCGTATTTCTTCAAAGGTCCTTTGAATGCCCCCATCAAAACTGAATGATCACAGATCAAGGCAAAACTTATGATTATGAGAAGATCAAAAACATGGGAGACAAACTGAGCATATCGAGATTTAACTTCCATCATACTTCCAGACTTACCATTGTTGGTGGTCTCTCGTTACAGTATCCATTTATGTCTATACATTTTTTCTGGTTTTTCCAAACCTTGGACTCTCTGGCCTTTCCTTCCTGGGCTTCCCAAGCCCAAGCGTCACCAAGCGCCAAAGCACCCGAAGGCTGGTGGACAAAGGTGCCACAGACCTTGCTGAAACAACATGGTCTTATCTTTAAATCCAAGACAATGTCTTTTGGTGTTGTTTCGTTTCTTCTGTTTTGCCCGCCGTGCCCTCACCCTTACTTGATTGAGGGCTAGCCGCTAAAGCTGGCTAAAGCTCACGCTTTCTCAAGGCCTTGAAGAAGCGCTCACACTATTCATTTGGTTCCTATAGGTTTTTAGGAAAACTTAACTAGAAGCGTCCTTGCTCCTAGTAGTAAGGCCAGGAGCCCCTAGTAGCGTCCTTGCTCCTAGTAGCGATGCCCTTGCTCCTAGTAGCTTCTTGTTCCTATAGGTTTTTAGGAAAACTTGCATGGTTTCGATCGAACTGGCTTTGTGACGCTTGGATCCCTCGATTTGGCCCAAGCTTGAAAGGCCCTCCGAGGCCCTCGCACGGGATATGGCTCTGAGTAAACCACACCTGGTGCGTATCAAGCCAGAAACTCTAGATAACTCTAGTAATCAAGGAAGTAGATTCAATATGATACAAGTAAATAAACTGGGAATTATATGAAGAGTGTAAGAAGGTGAAGTTGGATCCCACACACAGCAACCATGTTTGGTCATTCCCAGAGTTCTGTGACAAGCAAGCCCAACGTCTGGCGAAGCACTTTTTGCCGAGGCAACTGGTAGAAGTGCGAAACCATGAGCACTGCAGTCAGAGAATGGTCCAGCCAGCATGCTGCTTTCTTAGCAGCAAGCTTTTTGAGCTCACAAATGGCTCAAACGCAAGTGGGTCACTGCATCTGAACTCCAGGCACTTGAGGCACTTGGGGTCCGGATCGGTGCAGCACTTTGGCTACAATGTGTCGTTGGGTGTCAAAATGGTCCTGCATGGCCCAGAGTGCTCAGAACATCTAAGGAACAACTCGGAGGGTATACTAGGCCAACCAGCACACTGCCACCGCTGCTTCGATCGAAATACAAATCACGGAGATTGGCCTCCAACCTGATAGCATGTGGGAAGAAGGTTTGAAGGTTTCAAACCGTCTCAGTCCGTGTCCTTCAAGCAATGGCCGAAGGAGGTCGGCAGCTTCCAGGGAAGTCCCAGATTGTTTTCAGCGCGAGCTCACGCATGGAGAGCCCTTGACCAATCAAGTCCTTCTGCCCGTCCAAGCCTCGAATCGACACCAGAGTTCAAGCCTCAAAGCTCCCAAACACCTCGCCTCTCCGCCTCTCCGCCTGCGTCCTAGTTCTTTGGGACCATGTTCTGTCCGCTTTTCATGCACCATGGGGAAACCCAAAACTGACTCTAGCAACAAGAAGCCACTACAGGCTCCTGGCATCGCTACTAGGAGCAAGGACGCTACTAGGGGCTCCTGGCCGTACTACTAGGAACAAGAAGCTATCGAATGATTGGTTGGTACTCTGCCCAGGTGCCCAATGCCCCGCGATACTCAGTGGCCGCGGCCCTCTGCATGCCAGCGCTGGGCCGTGTTTCTGGTGCATCTGCAGCAGCGCCGGTGAGGCGTGAGGTCGTGCGGCTCCAAAGCACCTGCACTCAGCACCAACATGCAGCGGAGCCGGAGCCCCTAGTAGCGTTTTTGCTCCTTGGAGTCAGAGTGTAATTGACATAAATGACATCAAAGTGCATCTCACGTCCAATCCCACCTCGCGCAAGCGATGCAGATCGCAGCCCAGGGGCAAGCCACATGAAAGCACACGACGGCCGCGCACGAAGGTGGAGTGCAAGGCACTGCCGGCCTTCATTCATTCCGTTCCCACTTGGTTTCTTGGTCCAGCTTGTGAGCGATTCTGGTCCCCCGTTTGTGGCCCTCTCTTTTAGTTTTGATACAACACGGGTGGTAGCGATAAAAGAACGCTCGCCTCATACAAACCGTGCCATGGAGCCAGTGACTGTACAAACGCTGACCATTGATTCAATTCCAAATATGCTGCTCATTCCCAAACCCACCCTCGCGTTTGAATTTCAGTCCAGACATGTCCCAGTTCGAAGGCTGTATATACTACCACCCATGTTAGATCTGTATGCTTTTGTGGCACTGGACTCAGTGTCAGCTCACCGTGGCTCAAAAAGGATAAGCACGGAGAATGAGTGCCAATGTGCCATCAAAAGTCAAGGCAACACAGTGTGTCGCCCGCATGCCCTTGGGTTGCAGGTCGCGAGAGTTCCGCACTCGGATGAGCGTCCACGGCCATGTTCAGCAAACAAGCACAAACACTCAGCAAAACGAACATTTGGTGCCCCTCTACATGGTGGACTCTGGATCATGTAGACCGTAGACTTGTCGGCTGAAGGACTTGTTGACTTGTCGCCCTTCAACTTGTTCGACGAAACTGAGTTCCCACACCTGTGAAGGCCCTTGCTGTGGACGACCAAACACCAACAAACTGGCAGGATCCCCTCGTGGCAGCATGGACCTGCGTTTCAAGCAGCGAACCAGCTTTGATCTATTGACTTTGCTTCGATCATCTTCGGGCTATTACTAGTAACAAGAAGCTACTAGGGGCTCCTGGCATCGCTACTAGGAGCAAGGACGCGTCTAGCTCCTGACCTTACTACTAGGAGCAAGAACGCTACTAGTAACAAGAAGCTATTCAATTCCTTTGCGACTGAGATTGAGATTTCAGAGCTTCAAAGCACAGGCGCACATGGCTATGAGGTCCCAGAGCGTGACATCAGCAGCCTTAGCATCACTGGACTAACAGGTGCATCGCTACTAGTAGCAGTAAGGCCAGGAGCCCCTAGTAGCTTCTTGCTCCTAGTAGCAAGGCACCTTACTACTAGTAGCTTCTTGCTTTTAGATAAACATTGGAAACTCTCTTACTGAACATTCCTATGCTCACCCAAACGAATTGCTCAAAATCGAATTGCTCACCCAAACGCTGAAACAGAAACAAAACCCGCCCTGCCCACGTGCCACACCAGGGAGAGCAGTGGTGCGGAGTGGAGCTGCTCAGCCGATTCTACGTGAGTGAAGCATTGCACAAATACGCTCCAAGGAGCCCCACTACACACTCAACATGTATGTCCTCCAACCTAGTAGCGATGGCCTCCAACACTGATCTAATTGATCTCCATGTCCACCCCCCCTTTCCAAGGCCCACACACACCCGACCTCGATTCTGCCCGCGCCCTCCATGCCCATGGCCATGTAGCCTGGGATGGGTTACTTGCTAATTGCCCACATGGCATCAACAAACAACTGTTTAACTACATTGTCTGTTTTGATCACATGCACAGTACAATCGAACATTCATTTGCCTCCTTCCTAGAATTCGCGATGCCACTTTAAGCATATTCAAGCAGCCCCCTTCAGAAGCCATGCGCAGGGTTTCCCGAGTGGTGAGCCATTTGTGGTAGTCGGTGCTAGTGAGCGGTGATAACAAACAGGAGAGCTTCAGCGCCTCCGTCATGTCCTGGAAGCAAGGAGCACAAGAAAAAAGACTGCTCTTGTTGGTTGACGTGTGCATAAGCCACGTTCGCAAAGAAAAGAGCCTTGCTAGTCAGGGCAATTTGCAGGTGAGAATGTTTCTATGTGTTTCTTTGCTGGGTGTTTTGCCCACACCAGGAAAGACTGTCATGCCATGCTGAGCGATTGTGCATTGATTGGATGCTGGACATCGCTTGATCTCTGAAAAGCGTGCCTCTCATATGGGACAGTGTTGAACAGTTGAGTTGTTCCATTGATTATCGAAACAAACCTAAACATTCAAATGCCCATTCATAAGCAATCTTGGAGGTGGGTTGGTTGGTTAAGTAGTTACTTAGTTAGCTAGTTAGCTAGTTGAACTACATCGCCTTCTTACCACAGTTGAACAAGGTGATTCCAGCAATCCTTCTCGTTCTGCGAATATTGTGAATGTTGCGGAAGTGATGCTTGATCAATGCAAACACAGGTTCCCTCAGTCGCATAGAATGTGGCCCACTCATGTTCTCCTAAAAGCTAAGGGTTTCCAACTGCCCTGGAACCCCCACAACGGTTTGCCTTTGGAAGAAGGGTGAATGGACGGCGAGATGTTCTTTCTTGCGGAGCCTTCGACCGCTTGTGGCAAAGGATCAAGGCTTGGCTTTTGGTGAACTTGCTGTTTGTTTCCACCATGCTGGCTTTCGATTTGAAGCAAATACGCAAGCTTGTACCAGAAGCAACGCAGGCTTTGACACAAAATCCAGCACGCGTTTCTAGCCACATTCCGTTCGACGCATCCAAGAGTGTGTGAGTGTGCGTGCGTGTGTGTGTGGATGTGTGGGTTCTCCTTACAGGCCTCAGGGGTGCATCGTTGGACTCTACGTAAGTGCCAAACGAAGGTCTCTTTATGATTGCCTCTTTGTCCTCTTTGCTGGAGCGGGTGGAGGCTTGAATCCATTGTCTGAGTCTTTCCATGGGGCCTCAGTTCTGGTGTATATCAGAGCTTCTTCGAACATAATCCCGGAATGTTTCCCGTGGACTTCTGGCACCAAATAGCGAAGGGGGATGCAAGGGGTAGTAGGAAAAAACGCCTTTGCCTGCTGCTGGTCTAGTAACCTGGGATAGTGTGGGCAAACGTCAAGTCCGTGAAATTTGATGCATAACACTCTTATCCGAATCGAGCTCCGTCAACATGCAGGACATGAGGGGCTGCTCGACATGTCACAGGTTTGCCAACGGGACACTTGCGATGCGACTGCGCAGAGAATCGCACTGTTCACTGTGCTGCGCCATGCTGTCGTGACTTCATCCGCTCAGGCTGTTGCGGTATTCAGGCACTGCCTGAGAGCATCTGACAGGATTTCGATTAGCTGATTAGCTGCTAAGCTATTAACAGCATTGATGTGTTTTGTGTCTTTAAGCCACCCATGGGAAGCAGGTGTGGAACAAAGAAAGGAAGCCAAGTCCTTTGCCCCCGGCTGGCCTGACCATCTGAGGACATAGCACCATCAATCCCAATGGCCACAGGGACCTTCTGCTCGAGGTTCCGGCGAACGTTGCCTTGCCAGTCTCACCTTTACTGAAATATGTAGAATGTAGACACAGCTCAGCTCCTTTATAAAACCCTGTACGACTACAGGCTCCTACAAGGACTCTACGAGTTTCAGTTTCACTTCCAAGACTTCGCACAAGAACGCTGCTACAGGATGCCAACAGTTTTCGTGAGCCATGTTCTTGTATGTTCCAATTCCACATTAAGGGGGTGACTAGTCCTGTGGCATACAGAGCAGCAAATCCTTCGCCAAGAATTTCCAATGTCTCCTTCCTTCACTTCCTTGTGGTGTCTCAGAACAAGTAGGTTCCAAACGCCATCCAAGCGTCAAATGCCAGAACCCAATCCTTGGAATTAAAGGTTTGAAACGTCATGGTGCAAAGGCTGCAAAGGTATGGCATGATGTTGACGTAGCATTTAATTCCCATGACTTGGCGAGAAAAAAAACAAAAAAAAACATCCGTCCACCACCCCTGATTCATCGACTCGAAGGCGGCAGCTGTGCCCATTCCAAGGATCTCAGGTTGGAGACCTCAGTGACTCCAACCTAGCGATGGCCTCTAACCTAGAAGCGTCCTTGCTACTAGTAGAAATGCCCTAGCTACTAGTAGCCATGCCTTGTTACTAATAGCGATGGCCTCCCTCCAACCTAATAGTGATGGCCTATACATTGCACATTGCGCTACCAAAATCTACCGGACAAGCATTCAGGACCATTCAGGAAGGTCCATTCGCGACGATGTCGCTGCAATACAACGAGCGGAAGGCAAAATGCCCGGACATTTCCTCCCACCCGTGTCTGCAATTGATCAGTATAAAAATCCGTACAACAAATCATCAATGAAACGATATGAAACGCACCCTTCCCGGTGTCTTGACAGGCAAGTGCCAATCCAAATGCCCCACGTCCCAATTTCCCGTGTGAGATGATGCGAGTGGCCGGGTTGTGCACAATCGCCGCTCCACGTTGGGCAATCAATTGCATCTCCGCCTCTTCCAGCCAACCTGGGATGGAGCAGGATGAGGGACAGAATGGCCTCCAACCTAAGAGCGGTGGCCTCCTACCTATTAGCGATGGCCTCCAACCTACTAGCGATGGCCTCCAACCCAAGAGCAAACCAATTGATAAGTGATAGCCTGGCCAATCTCAGCAAATGGATTTGAATAGATCCACAAAATCTCTCTGGGCTGTGAGCTGCTACAGATACTGCAGCCTAGCGATATTGAAGTCATTCTGGCATGCGGTGTGGATCGGCGTGGTTTGGTCATGTTTGGTCATCTTGCAAGCATCTTGCCACATGGAAAAGTCTGGGGTTCACCGGCCTATTTGTCCAAGGTCCAATTAGTGTTCTCACCCAGGAGCAGCAATGAGCCAGCGACGTGGTCGTGCTTGGCACATGGAGGAAGCCGGTGGAATCTAAGAAACGCCTCGAGGTGCCGACGCTGACAGCAACGGCAAAGGCAAAGGGTGTCAAAAGTCCGGCGCAAACCGCCAAGCAGTTGTGTTCCTCTATGGCCAGAATCTAGCCTGAGCTACTGGTAGGCGATAGGCATTCAATGGGCCTTGCCCTTTACCCAATATGACCCACTGCTGGACATTGGATCTCAAATTGCCACGCCAGCAAGACGAATACATTGAAGATTAAGAACCAAGGATCATCAAGGCACACTCAATGATACACTCTAGCACACTCATTCACAGAAGAGTTCGACTAAAGAACTCTCCCCCTCTTAGCGAACAGAACACAAACAGTGTTTGTTTCTTTTAGCCCGTTCCTCTCTCCTAGCACTGTAGGGGGTGAGGCCGTGTAGAGGTGAGGTAGGTAACTAGCACCTTACTTAAGCTACTAGTATGGACGCAGGATAGCTCACGCTAATGATTTGGTTTCTAGGTTGTTAGGGAAACTTAACATGAGAACTTGTAAATACAGTGATCTCCCTCAGCGAATAGAACACATTCAAACAACTATATACAGTAGCCTCTTTGCAGTCGAGCCACACAGCTGAGCCATCATGGGCCTTGAAACGACCTCGGGTTGGTGACGTTCCTCTACCATCCTCTACCTGGAAAGACCCTGAAGACAAGACAGCGACACGAAGTTGCCAAAGGCACATCCAAGAAACATTAGACATGAATCAGCTGGTGACTGGTGACTCTCACAAAATGCAAAGATCATTCCACCCTCTACGCCCAGCAGCGGGCGGCTTCAAGCCTTTGAGCCCGTGATTCCAAGACCTGGGGGTGTCGTGGAGCGCGCTGAGGTCCAAAGGCCTCCAACCTACTAGAAATGGCCTCCTACCTACTAATTATGGAATGGCCTCCTACCTATGAGCAATAGCCTCCTACCTAATAGCAATGGCCTGCCCAATAGTGATGTCCTCCTACCTAATAGCGATGGCCTCCTACCTACTAGCGATGGACTCCAGCAACAAGGGCTCAGCCTTTGCAACATGCACGGTTGGGCTCAGCGTTGAAAGACATGAACTTACATCCAGTACCCCACGTAACAAGCGATGGCTCTCACACCAATGCTCCAAGCAGCGTGGATGTGTCCATTAAGCTTGTACTTTCTTCGGATGTCTGTAGCTCCCCTTAGGAGCTGCTCACCTGAAGAATCTGTCAAAACACTGCGGAAACATTTTGGCGAATAATGGATTCTGGCGATAGACAGGTGAAAACAACCGGTCGCACTCTGTATGTTGACGTGAAAGCAAGATAAAAGCAAGTAATGGTCTTCCCAGCGCACTGGGACCCATAAATTTACTTCAGTGGCCACGAGCGAAGGGCAGCACGTCGTGTACTGCATGCTTGTTCTGGCTGCGACTAGGTGGCTGCATGAAAAAAGGCTGACAGGGCCCACAACAATGTTCACGCCGTTTGCAGGGTCGTGCAACTTTTCAGCACACTCCTGCAAAAGGCCAAAGCCTCGTAACATGGAGTGAGGTGTATGCAAGTCTCATCTTGAGTTTATGGGCATAGAAACTTAGTGCCTTCAGTGCCTTAGCTTCCCTTCCTTCATTCATACCTCAACTTCCTCCAGACTTCCTTTGACATCTGCCTTCCTCTTCCTGGAAAAAAGCGTTCTTGCAGCTGGTAGGTGGTAAGATTTGCAGACTCCAGACTCCAAATCCAAATAGAGCAAGTGAATCTTCACCCTTCGAGCATTGAAACACCAACATTGACCAGCCACTGACACACCAGGATGTTTGCGTTCAACCTTTGCAGGTTTGAGTATCCTCCCGTCCTCCCAAAGCGCCAGGTTCGCTTGGCATTTGGCTTCGTTGCTGGGCCCTGACGTGGTGCGCCAGCGTCCCTCAGGTCCGAGGCCACCACCCTGGCCCTGGGCGTTGCGCTCTTCGGCGTCAAGGGCCACTGGCACGTAGTTTTCGTAGAGAACCTCGCAGATACGAAGGAGAGAGAACATGCAATGGCCTCCTACCTACAAGCAATGGCCACCCCCTAATTGCAAACGAAGTATGAGGATGTATGTTATGAACCGTCCAAACAAAGAAAACGGAGGGCGGTTCGAGTTGGCTTCAGATGGAGGTCTTGCCTTCCTGTGAGTCCGTGTGTTGAACAATCAAGCCAACAAGGTGCTGAACATGAGCAGAGCGGAAACAGGTTCGCTTTGATGATTTCTTGCCCCTTTTTCCTGGAGTTGGGCTTGCATTTCTCTCAGGCTCACTAAGTCCCATACGTTGACAAATAACATTTTGCAACAACCAGGCACGGTTTACCATAGTCCTCCAACCACTGTGGTGCAATTCTGGACGGCAAACAGTTACTGTCGTCACCAGGGTGCAAGAACTGACTCAAAGCCCCAATATGGTGGCGGGACACATCTACAGTGACTCCTCAACACTCAGCCGAACCAAAACCAATCTCTATTGTGCATCATCCTTTCCTGCTTGGTGGCAGCATCATCGTTCAACATTGGCGCAAAGAACACTCGGAGGCCCAAATCCTGACATGTCAGGCGCAGTGTGGCTCTGGGAGAGTTAGCCTGCGGCTGTGGAGGGACACTCTCACTAGCTATTGGCTACTAGTAGTCGTGCCCCTTGTTCCTGGTAGCTTCTTGCTCCTAATAGCGATGGCCTCCAAGGTTTCAGGTTTTTGATAGGAGCTTTTTGGACATCGGAACCTAGTAGCCCCTAGTAGCGTCCTTGCTCCTAGTAGCGATGCCAGGAGCCCCTAGTAGCTTCTTGTTTCTAATAGCTTCTTGTTCGTAGTAGTAAGGCCAGGAGCTACTACTAGCGTCCTTGCTCCTAGTAGAGTGTTGAAACTTCTTGGATAATTATACACTTGTGGTCGAAGCAGTGACCACAGTTCGCGCTTGCATCGTACCTCATAGGCCCTGCAGGCTGCTTCTGCCTCCTCAAACTTCAGCATGAAGCAATGATCCTGCAGTCCAATCAGGCACAGTGGGGAGTGTTGCTATGTGCCGCAACTTCCAAAACTTCCTTGCCAAGGGAGGAGATAACGATTAATCCTTTCACTGGGAATCGTTGCACCTTCAGTAACAATAAAGCCTTCTAGTAACTAGAAGCCTACTTAATTAAGTAGGGAGGCGGGGAGCGGGCTTTTAAAAAAACTTGGCCTTGAAACCTCAGGTACCTTGTACCAACTTGGGCACCTTTTCGCCTTGTACCAACTTGCACAAAAATCACCATGCTGAAAGCGCAGCCCACCGCGGTCCAGCACGGCAGTGCAACCTGTCAAGTTGGCAATTTCTCAAAACACCTGGTTGTTCCAAATGACAATGCATCATTGCGCATGGTGCTTACTATCTAGGGGGCTCTTGGCTATCGCTCCCGTCAGTCTGGGACTGATCAGAATGAGCCAGCATGAGGGGTGTCATCAAAAACCAAAGGGCCACTGGATGCCACTAGATGACCGCTGTTGAGGTCTGGCACATGATCCCGCTTTTAGCCAAAAAAGTTGCAAGCTGGGAAAACTCTGAACCCGGTCCACCCTGGTCTGGAGTATGAACAGCTTGGCGGTCTGATTGGTCTCACGGAATTCTGGCAGTAGCCTTTCACGGAAGTCAACCCAGTTGCTCCTGGCCTTACTACTAGGAGCAAGGACGCTACTAGGGGCTCCGGCATCGTTACTAGGAGCAAGGACGCTACTAGGAGCAAGGGCACGCTACTTGGCACCCCTGTGCTGGTTTTGCAAGCTCTCCGGCAGGAGTCGATCACAATACTGTAGCCGATTCCATCGGGAGTCAAACGCTGTTTACCTGAGTGCAACACAGGAGATAGAAGAGATAAGCAGGGGCCATGCCAATGCAAGTATCAACACACACTCTTCAAGGCTTGCTCCCAACTGACTCCAACCAACAATTTCCAAAAAGACTGGAAATGCCAAACCTTCGTTTCTACGCTTGAGGTTGCGATTGAACATGGTAGCGTTTCGCCCAGCTACTAATGGTCTCCAGCACGAGCCCAGCACGTTGCCAGCGTTCACACGTCAG